ATTTGACATTCATTTCGATATAGTTTTTTTTAACTTTTTTTACGTCAAATATTATATATGTGTGTAATATTTATTATGAATATTTATGCACGTTCATATGTTCACAACAACTCCTTAATATTCATACATTAGTGTGATATTCATCATGAATATACAACTTAGTATAACATTTATCATGAATAGTTATTTATTTTCATGTATATTCAACAAATTTTCAATATTCATACATCAGTACAACACTTGTCATTAATATACATTCTCAATATAACATTTATCATAAATATATATATTATTCATCATGAATATATGTTTTCTTTATAGCATTTATCATATATATATATATATATATATATATGTATATATATACACACGCATGTGTGTATACAATATTCAGTATTCATACATCATATGATACATACCATTCATCATGAATATTTATATAATGTTCACGTGTATAAAAACAAATTTTCAACATTCATACATAAATATAATTTCGCCATGAATATACATTTTTACCATAACATTTATCATGAATATACATTTTCACTGTAACATTCATCATGAATATATATACTATTCATCGTAAATATTTATCTATGATCACGTTTATACAATAACTCTTTATATTTATTTTAGTATGATATTTTTCATAAATATTAACTTTCACCATAGTATTTATCATGCATATACACATTATTCATCATGAATATACTATAGTTTCAACTTTACATACTTTAGTTTTTCTCTATTGGGTTCTCGGTTGATCTGGATGAGTTCCCTATTTATCTCAATAAATTTTCCGATCCATCTCGATAAGAATTAAAAGTGGTATATTATGGTTTTACACAAACAATAAATTAATCAATATCTTCTCAACTGGTATCGATAAAAAATGAAGGTGCTATGTTATGATTTTAACACATGACTGCATACCAAGTCAATGGATGGATCCTTGATTAGTCTTGATTGGTGTTGATCGGTCCCAATGGGTTGTTGATCGATCTTGAAGTGTTCTTGATTGGTTTCGATGAGTTCTCAATCCGTCTCGATAAAAGCTGAAAGTGATAGCATATGGTTTTACACATACAAACAGATAATAAATTAATCAATATGTTTTCGATAGAAAATGAAGGTGGTAGGCTATGGTTTAACACACATAAAAACATACCAAGTCAATGAATGAATTCTCGAACTTTCTCGATCCGGTCTCTAGGTTCTTGATCGGTCTCGAAGGATGTTAGGTTACGGTGATGAAGCACGGTGTCTTACGATGTTGAAGACAGTGTTGAAAAGGTGATATCGAGTTACGAGCTACCATGTCGAGCTGTTGTACACACTTGAACGTACATAAATATTCATAATGAATATAACACATACCATTTCACGTAAAAAAACGGTTAAAACAAAGAAAAAACTATATCGAGATGGATGTCATGCAGAAGAGCATGAAATTCTTATTTTTTAATGTAATTTGTTTGATTAAAATATTAGATATTTTTAAGAAAATTTATTTTAAACTTTAAGGGGATACAAGTTTTTAATTAAAAAAATAAAAGGTCAAAGAAGGTAGGAGTTGGTCTAAATTAAGTTTTTTTTAATCATCTTAATTAAAAATTTTAATTAAAAAATCTACTTAATATGAGTTATTGGATCAAATAAAATGGAGGACAAGGTTGGTCCTAATGTTTACAAAAAAAAAATTGGTTTACAGATAAACTTTTATCAACAACACTTTTACTACCATCATTCAGAAATATGGTTTATATATATATATATATACTATCTTATAAATCATTTGACTAAAACTCTTAAAAATTCTTAAAATTTTTAAACTCGTTCATCCATATTCGATTTCATCCCATATCTGAATTCGTGTAACTAACTGCAGATAAATACAATCAAATACAAAATAAACATCTCATTTTAAATATAAAAAATCTAAAATATAATTAGTATAATCATTAAATT